AAGTTGTGGTTGAGTTTGTCGTTGAAGCTGTTGTTGAGGTAGTCGTTGAGGTAGTCGTTGAGGTTGTCGTTGAAGTTGTTGCTAAGATTGTCGTCGAAGTGGTTGTTGAGGTAGTCGTTGAAGTTGTTATTGAGATTGTCGTCGAAGCGGTTGTTGAGGTAGTCGTTGAAGTTGTCGTTGAAGTTGTTGCTAAGATTGTCGTCGAAGTGGTTGTTGAGGTAGTCGTTGAGGTAGTCGTTGAAGTAGTTGTTGAGGTTGTTGAAGTGGTTGTTGAAGTTGTTTTTGAGGTTGTTGTCGAAGTAGTCGTCGAAGTGGTTGTCGTGTAGCCTGACCTTTTTGTGGTTGTTAGCTGGGTTTCTATACGACGAGAAGAGCTTTTGTCATGCATTTTAAATGTTGTTGTAGTTCTTTCCGTGGTTGTTATTTCCATCTCTAAATATGAAGAAGTTGGTTAAGAGCTGTACTGATTGACACAAGGTTGAGGAAGTCATAATAGTCTATACAAAATCAACAGCAACTATTTTATTTAGAGTGCAAGGGCCTTCGATTCGTGACTTGTTGCAGTATTTCGAGTTCAGAATGTTCTGAAAAAGCGAAAGAATCAATGATGATTGTGGGGAAAATAAAATAAAACAACAGAAGTAAAGGGAGTCACGCACTTTTAATATTTTTATATACATTATGATTCCAGTTGTCAGTCGAAAACTCTTATGTTTCTAATAGACATGTTACGAACCAGAACGTACGGTCGAACTTCTGCACCTAGTTTCATGGTGCTTAATGAATTAGTGTTGCCTCGAGGAATCAGTGTCTCACACAAGATGCAACTTGCAACAGTGTTTCATTTTCAAAATAATCTCGGTTCGTAACCCATACAAGAACATCTCTGAAAATTCTGCGCAAAAATATTTTTTCTTTCTCGATGTTCTATCTTATATAGTCTTTTATATACGTTTTGAAGCGGAACGTAAACCGTGACAAGATTTCATTTTTAGTACTAGAGAGGAAAAATGCGCCTCAACTGGGAATCGAGCCGAGGACCCTCTGATTACGGGCCAGAAGCTCTAACCTTTGAGCTATCGAAGCACAGTCTTTCCTCTGCAGTACTAAAAATAAAATCTTATCGCAGTTTACGTTCCGCTTCAAAATGTATATAAAAGACTATATATAATATAACATATATGCTTAAAAAAGCAATAAATGATCACTCTTCCAGTACTTCTAGTCCCTAACAGGAAAAAGTACAAGTGCGTTGCGGCCTTCGTGCTTAAAAAATGCTTCCACTATGGATCTATCATATACTACAGAGATTTAATGCGACTAGACTGTGCTTCGACAGCTCAGTGATTAGAGCTTCTGACCTGTAATCAGAGGGTCCTGGGTTCGATTCCTAGTTGAGGCGCTTTTTTCTTCTGTACTACTAAAAATTAGGTGTTCTATCTCTCCTATAAATTGTGACTCAATCGGACGTGTGTTCCGCATTTGGCAACAAGGTGAAAAACGAGAGGGAGAGGGATACCCTTAAGAGCCGCAGGTCTTGTAACTACCGAACCACGACCTCTAGTCCTACAAAACAAATGAATTATTTACTACTATTTTCGACAGTTGCAGACAACTTCAAAAATGTCTACTATGAAAAGAGGAAAGCAACAGTATCAATCTGGAAAGGACACCGGACAAACGAGGATAACTTGTCCAGAGCGTGTCAGAAGAAAAGATTTCATCAGAAATTCTATAAATATTTAATATCAACCAGACTAGTCTAACATGGCTGTGTGATAGGTATGATGTCTGAAAATATATTCCGGCGTAAAACATTCTTCGTATTAACTGTGTAGTAGGCTTTTTACAATAAACCAACGACGCATCATCAATTCGTCACATTCTGATAGACAATTATGGTCGTACTTCATCGGATTAGGCTTATGTCGATAGAAAAGATCTAAGGTCTCTTATGTACCGTCGTAAATATAAATAGAAACGCAATCATGCGTAAGTATTTAAATCTTGACACTTACTTATGTGTTTTCGAATCCACGTGATATAACTGGCCACTCTGGTGTAGACGCCTGGTTTCCCTGCACCACCACACGAACTGACGTTTGATACAAGTCCGATCAGCGACCATGTTTTGGACACCTGCGAATATTGCATGAGAGGTGCACCAAAATCAAGGGCACACGCACTTTGTAATCCTTCAGCGTACCCAGCACAAAATGCCTGAGCGTTATACGACTTGTTACCGACGTTGAGATACTGCGAACAGTTGTGATTGGTTACGTTTTGTGTCAGCAGAATAGCCTGATTCAAACTGCCATCGAAGACGGGTTTGCTTACCGTTCCGGATGTGCCATATCCAATGAGAACGGCGAACTCATTGTTCGACGGTTTCCTAGTATTGTTGAAAGTGGATGGCAGACAAACGTACGGTGTTGAGGGTGGTGCAGCATCCAATTTGAGTAAAGCCAAATCGTTGATAGTAAGATCGTTGCTGGTTCTCACTCTAGTGGGGTACAAAATAACTTGTGACACGATCGAAAACTGTATTGAACTAGAATAATTGTTGCTATTGGTCAGGCCATAAACGGCAAACAACGAAGTTGCGGTGATATTAGTCAACTTATTTCGCAGCAAACACGATGCCGTAGTTAATACCCATGTAGGACGAATGAGAGCACCGGTACAATAGAAGATTTTTGTTGAGCCGATGGCCATTAGCCACGGATAAACACCTTTGCGCGTGACAGGTGTACCACCCACAACGCGTTGCTTCCTGGATAATGTTTGAGTGAAGTTTTGAAATACCGGATCGTTTGATCCGCCACAACCGCAGGGTGCTGTTACATTACAAAGTATAGTACGATAGACGGCGGGCACTGGGCGAAAAACCTTTCGTGGAGCAATGGTTGTTGTTTGTGTGGTTGGAGGATCTTAAGAAAACTTATCATAAATTGTATTGTAAGCTGAGTCATGCAAATGTTCAGGTGTGAGGTTGTGTGATTCGACTCGGTCACTGTAGTATTTATGCAGCACAAGGAAAATTGGTTCTCACTTTCGAAGAAAACTAATTTAAGGCGCCGCTAATTTAAGCGCTATTTGGGTGAGTAACACTAAGTAATTCATTTGTTTTGTTGGAAAACTCAATGTTTTGCTCTTGAATGTCTTCTTTAAAGGCTGAAACATTCACAACATACTGCACAACATACTCGTGTATCGTTCTCCAACGTTTGTTGCATTGTTACGTTTTATCAACAGCGTTTTTCAAATCTACTTATCTCAGTCAGTCCGTTTAGATATCGTAGAAAAGTTTAAAAGAACAATGAGTGAGGTGGATGAAACGATAATAGCGCAGAACACCAACCACAACACAAACCGGAACCTACGGTCGAAGTTCGGTATCGAACCGTTCGAGTCCGAGTGTTCGGCTTCGAGTTCGAAAAGTTCGGGTTCGGGAGTTCGAGTGCGACTTTAGATTAACGTTAACGCAAGTTTAGCAATAAGGTTGGCTGACCTTCTGCACCTAGTTTCATGGTGCTTAATGAATTAGTGTTGCCTCGAGGAATCAGCGTCTCACACAGGATGCAACTGGCAACAGTGTTTCATTTTCAAATTAATCTCGGTTACTCTATATGATCATAGTATTTTATCTAATTGTGACACATCTTTTGTGTACACGTGTTCTTACCACTGGTCCATAATACAAGCTTAGTGCTTATTTTTCGAATATCTCCGTCACCTTGATAGATAGCGACCTGTGCTTTTCAGTATTGAATAGCCAAGACCTGCATGCATGGTTCCACAAGCAAAAATGATTTCTGAGAAAAATTTAAAGATGGGATTTTGAGAGGATCTTTGGGAAACTAGGTACATTGTAACGTATCTAGAGAAAGACAAACATATTGTCACAATTCTCTATGAATCACGCGAGTTTATTGTGGTTAAAGGAAGAAAAATCATTTTGACTTTTTTAAACTCGACTTGTTTGATACTAATAGATATGTTTTACAATCGCCTGTTCGTTACAGAATAGATTGATGATTCATAGAAAATTGTGACAATACGTTTGTCTTTCTCTAGAAACGTTGGAATTTTATCACCGTTGTATTTCGGTGATGTTCTGCGTATATAATCTCAACATGAGTTGAGTGAAAAGTTACAGAAAGGCAGTCTCGAGGACTGCGCGCGTAGTAAGAACCAGTCCAAGTTTCTAAGGCTTAGGCTTTTCTGTAACGAATAGGCGGTTGTAAAACATATCTGCTAGTATCAAACAAGTTGAGTTTAAAAAAATCAAAATAAAATGTTTGTTGCTGATATTTCATGTCGTATCTTAAACATATAAACGCTGAGCTCAGCCTATTTCTTCAGCAGTAACCGAAAGCCTAAAGCTAGTCTACGTGTCACATGTGGCTTTTTTCATCGCCACTTCATTAGTTTACTAGTTTCCAACACATTTCAATCTCATTAAGTGTGACATATGGACCTCTATGCTAAATGTTTCGACCTTACTGCACGCCATGTTGAGCTGACAACTTTCAACTATTTATTCATGAAAACATAACGATCCTGTTCCGAAATAACACTCTCAAAATTGCTAACATCAAACGACTTTTGACAACGTCGAGGAAAGTTGAAAACATAGGTTATCGGTGATCAAAATCCAAGAACTTACTTATTATCAATATTCGATCAAAGAAGCCATTTTCGGCTATTTTCATGGAAAATCAAAACCCTCATAACTTCCGAGGGAACCTTTCGAGCTGGTAAGCCGCTCTTCGACGCATACTAGTTTTATCATGCAGGTTCCAGTGATTAATGAAAAACCCTAAGACGGTTCGTGCCCATAGCCGTTTGTCCCGAATCTAGACCAGTCGCATTCCACGACCGTATTGCTCATAACTACTATCTCGTCATAGTTACTATCATAATACATTCGCAGTAATATAAGCGCATTTGGCAGAACCAAATTTGCGAATCACAAGTTCCTTTTATTCTAGCACACATACCGTTCCCAATAACAGTACCCTCTTCACACGTATCGTATGAATGAGTTCCCTACGACTGCAATAAATTACACAAGACACACACCGTCTCTAAGTTTGAGTTTCCTTCAAAAGCGCACTTTTTCCCTGTCCTTCTCACTACGAATCGTCCTAACCATCTACTACAAACCGGCCCTGCCTCCACAACCAGCACGCACAAATGCAACCAGCAAGTATACATCGGTCCTGCAATTTACAATCGCATCATTGCCATCAACACAATATGCTATATAAAAATTCTTCGTTCCTGAAGAGACATGTATACAACGTCATTCTATTTTATTCCTGGGATCTCCAACCTGAACTGGCTACCGACCTGCCGGAAAACCGGTTTTGCCGAAACGGCGTCTCCTTTTCTCGAAAATCACTTTTCAAGCCAAAATTTCCTAGATCCTCACGCTCTCTCGAGCCCAAACGAGCAAACCCTTATCGAGGAATCTCCCCAAACATAATAACCGCCCGCACTTGGACTCAGAAAGAGTATGTTCTCATCGATACTAACTGTGGTACTCACGAGTCGCTAACGAAGTCGGCGTTATGGGCGTGGATAGTGATAATTGTGGTGCTAAGAATGGAAGAGAAACCAAAGAAATAAAAGTCACACACACATGTACAGTTGAACCTTACATATATTGGTTATAGATAAAAATGTGGCATTGACCAGTACCATTGCATTATTTGAATCGATAAATGAGAATGACACACTTGTGACGTTTCGAATTGAATTTTGAATGAAGTGATCATAAGTTGCTTGGCATGTCGATGTGTTACAATTAATTGGATATACAGTATAACATGTGATGATCAGTTCGTCATGACACGTTTGCTCGGTAATCAACGATGAACTATGACAAAAAGCATCACCATTTTTCCTTTTATTGACGAACAAAGAAAGAAAACTACCGTTTTCGGCGTTTATGACTCAGTTGCATAGAAATAACTATAACCGGGAAGCCACCACTTATCGATGTTACCTGGAAACGAAGAAATATATGAGCGTTTCCTCGCGCTTCCGCAGTTCACTTACTGTTTTCGAAGCTGACTTTATGTTGCTCTTTGAGTTTGAATCGATTATGGTCGAAGTGGCTCTTAAATATCGTTGTGAGACATCTCTCTTTGATATAATCACATTGGCATCATTGCCATCAACACAATATGCTATTTCGAAATTCTTTGTTCCTGAAAAAGAGATATGTATACACCGTAATTCTATTTTATTCCTGGGATCTCCAAGCTGAACTGGCTATCGACTTGCCGGACAACCGGTTTTGCCGAAAAGGCGTCTCGTTTTCTCGAAAATCACTTTTTAGGCCGAAATTTGCTAGATGCTCTCAGTCTCTCGAGTCCAAACGAGGAAATGGTTACCGTGGACTTTCGCTCGGCTAAAATATAGCATCCGCTTGAAGTTTGACTCAGAAAGAGACTGTTGTTATCGATGGTGACGGTTTTCTTTGCTTTTTGTTTCACATTGCACAGTCTATCGAACACAACTAGTATGATCATGTTTCTAAGTATGTCAAAAGTACACAACCGTGTTGAACATTTATATTTCCAAATGTTCTGTTCATTTTGCCTCGATTGGTTTCTATCAATCAAAATGTTTGGCGAAGCTGATTTTCGAAACGACCCTATTCGAAATCAACCACCGAAATATAATAACAATCCTTCTCGGCTAGGATCGCACTATAAATGAACAATTTATTTGACTAATGGGTGATCCGATTCGAGGAGTTCTAATCGATTTCAT